CTAGGTTACTGTTAAGAATATCAAAAAAATGCAAATACTATTGATTAAGACTAAAATTTGGATTAATAAATTGAAGTCGGTGCAAATTAATGATATTTCATATATTGTTCTGAATCAATGTTTCAGAATTTTCATGATATTTTTAATTAACTTTTGTGTTGATATGCGGCTGTAAATTGTATTAAAAATTTTCCAATTAAATAGAAAATTACACGCATCAGGTTTATATGCGGACAAGTGGAGGTTGGCTGGTGGAGTCCAGACGCGAATCAAAGGCCGTTTTAAACGACTAACGAACCACAAACCATACAAAACGGAGACCCGCTATACGTTGGGGCCCACTTTCATAATAAAAATCAATTAGCTAATAAAAAATTCCTAAATAATTAGCCATATAAGATTTCATTATCAAAATTAAATTATTACGGAGAAATCTATACTACTTATAAAAGAGAATACTCATATCAAAGTTTTTGATTGTCTATTTTGCCCTTTCAAATTTTGATAATTTACAATTATATCATTAGTTATAATTAATCCTTAAATAACTATCCATAATTCTTTATTAAATGCACCTCCTACTCTTCCCCAAAATATTTAATCAAGAATATAATTATTATCGATAGTTTATAATCTAACGCTACATGCAAATGCTTATATCTACATTTAGAATTTTAGAGTGTCAATCTTCACTTTTCGGGCTACCTTAATTGCATGCCGGGGGGGTTTTGCAACCTGCTCGACTCTCTAAGAAGTTAAAACGACTGCATTTGAGGGATATCAAAATTTAATCCATGGGAGAACCAGAGTTTTGTAGTTATTAAATGCACCTCCTACTCCTCCCCAAAATATTTGGTCAAGAATATAATTATTATTGATAATTTATAATCTATACATGCAAATGTTTATATCTACATTTAGAATTTTAGAGTGTCAATGTTCACTTTTCAGGCTACCTTAATTGCATGTCGGGGGGGCTTTGCAACCTGCTCGACTCTCTAAGAAGTTAAAATGATTGTGTTGAAGGGATATCAAAATTTAATCCATGGGAGAACCAGAGTTTTGTAGTTATTAAATGCATCTCCTACTCCTCCCCAAAATATTTGGTCAAGAATATAATTATTATCGATAGTTTATAAGCTAACATTACATGCAAATGCTTATATCTACATTTAGATGTTTAGAGTGTCAATGTTCAGTTTTAGGGCTACCTTAATTGCATGTCTAGTGGGGAGGGGGAGGGGTAGGGGGGAGGCTTTGCAACCTACTCTACTCTCTAAGAAGTTAAAACAACTGCATTAGAAGGGCATCAGCGATTAAGCCATGGGAGAACCAGAGCTTTTTTAGACACCAACTAAGGTAGAATTAGAGAATGATGTATCATATTCTTCATTGCTTTAGGTCTTATGAGCACCAACTGCTAATGAGTCCAAAAGTTTCAGCTCAAGACTATAAATTTCTTCGCAATCAGTCACACAATAGTATAAGATAATCAAATAATTATAATAATAAGATGTAGAGTCTAGACTTTTAAACTTCAATTTTAATCAATGCATAAACTATGAGCCCAATTAACTAACAAACAATCTTTTTTGTTTTCTCTGTATATAAGTTCTTTTTCATCTCTCGTGTATAAATTAGCTTATACATTTTCTTCCACTCACCATAACACATACTAAGCCAAATTCATACAATTATAAAAGAAAAAGCTCAACCAAAACTCCACTTAGATTAGAATGGGAAATTTAGCGGAGCATAGAATGCTGACTTCTTTTGAGGATCAAATTTGCTCAAGCACATGTTAGCATGGTATATTCCTCTATAATTCAATTGGTATTTTGAAAATGAGTTTCAAAACATAGTTATTGTAGAAATGAGTTGATTTCATACGATCTAAATTGCTATAGTCAACTTGGCGATTAGTTTTCTTTTTGGAGACATTGGTATCACAAAATTTTCAAAATGTATTATAAAAAGACTAAACGGACAAATGTATGTTAAAATCTCATTAGATCAAATACTTTTGAAATTCAACCCCCTAAACACATTTCACTGTGTAAATTGAACACATATTGTACTAAAAAGATCTATGATGCTAATATCATGAAGTAGGGCACGATTAGTAATATATTAAACTAATTGTATTACCCTTTTCATGTTAAAGTCGAAATACAAAATAAACTTTATTACCATGATTTTAGACAAAAATAAATACTAAAACAAGCATCATATTTCCATGCATCCAAAATAAGTTCTTATATTTTTATTATAAAACCCTGATTACTAAAGTGAAACTTCTTAAGCTTTGGCTTTTTACCTTCTAATTGAAAACTTATTTTTATATGTGACATTTATGTTTCACTTATTTTTCTCTATTCCTCTCCTTCCAACCATCCGACTTCTAATTTCAGAGAAATAAAGTGCTTGGGATGACATTAAATATGGAGTAGATTTTCATGGAAATGCTATCACAATAATTCAGTGTCAAGTTGTGAATTAGAGATTGATGAAAAACATATGAACGACATAACCAGTCTCTCTTATAATTGTCACGGAACTTTAACAAGTGATGAGTCCCTGCTCGCAAGATATACATCCATCATCCAATCATGTCAATTTCAGCTTTAAGTTTAATAACTTTATTTGGGAAAGCTCTTATTAATTATCCATCATCCAATCATGTCAATTTCAGCTTTAAGTTTAATAACTTTATTTGGGAAAGCTCTTATTAATTAGTATTTCCTTAAATAATTTGAACCTCGCTTTAAGTTTAATAACTTTATTTGGGAAAGCTCTTATTAATTAGTATTTCCTTAAATAATTTGAACCTCAGTGTAAGTTGAGCCAAGATGAGTCTCTCGTTTATAATATTAAAGCATCTTTTAATGTTGCTATTATGTTTTTACAGAATAAGTTTGTCATGCACAGAATTATAATTTTTTTCACCCTATTAATCCATGTTGGATATCTGCTATTTAGTAAATTTGATCCTCTATGTTTGTGTCTTTTGTTTTAGCTTTAAATGATAGACTTTGATAAGATAATTAAATTTGAAACATGATATAAATTGGTTCTTTATATTGTCTCATTACTCTATACATTCACGCCTCGTTTGGTACGAGGGAATGGAGTCAAGTAAGAATGAAAAGAAGGTAGGAATAGAATGGAGTAGATGTGGGAATGGAATGCACATTCTCATTCTCATATTTAGACGCGTTTAGATAATGAAACGGGAATGACAATCTTATTCTTATTCTCACGTTTAGTATCATTTGTTCACAAGTAAGAATAAAATTTAGTTTTCTAATAATGCCCTTACCAAAACACAAAAATTTTAAAAAAATTAAAAAAAATTAAAAATGACTAAATAATTTATTTTTTAGAAAAATAAGTTTTATTAAAATGATATTTTTTCCTTAGAGAAATAAATTTTCATGTAATAGTTATATTTTGGCACACCGTTTCGGTAACAATTTCGGACTTTTGGCTTACAAATTAAAAAATAATTTTCATAGAAATTATTTTTAATTATAAATAATTATTATTTCACTTTTCTAACTTCTAGTGCTACATGTCTACTATTTGTACGAGCAGCTAATGTTACTAACTTCATTGTGCGTTAGTGAAGAGAAGAATGCCTTATAAGAGACTAATGTTACTAACTTCATTGTGCGTTAGTGAAGAGAAGAATGCCTTATAAGAGATATTTCATATAATTGGGCACTCTTCACAACATCTCCTGAATTAGTGAAGAGAAGAATGCCTTATAAGAGATATTTCATATAATTGGGCACTCTTCACAACATCTCCTGAAAAAGAAATTTTGAGATTTCATGTTCGGGGGAAAAATAAAGGGAAAAAGTGCAATTTATCATCCATATGTCAAAATTGAAATAAACGATAGTATCTATAGTTTAAAATTTTATATGCATAAACTATCACATTCGACAAATTATTAGAAATATAAACGATAGTATCTATAGTTTAAAATTTTATATGCATAAACTATCACATTCGACAAATTATTAGAAATATCCAAATTCTAATCAAAAATGCATAAACTATCACATTCGACAAATTATTAGAAATATCCAAATTCTAATCAAAATATCCATAAAATAATACGAGCAAAATAATTGGACAACCATCAAAGTATCAAAATATTAAGTTTAGAAATTGCAAAATGATAAACTAGTTTGTCACTCCAAAGTATATCTTGTTTATTAAAAGATATTAGAACTAAGGCAAGGTCCGCGTTAATATACTTCTTAGGAACGAATTAACGACATCAGAGATTTATTAAAAAATAATATCACAATATATTGGAACTATGGCAAGATCACTGATATAAATTTACTTAGAAACGATGTTTGTATATTGGAACTTGAGCAAGTTATATTCATGCTTGTATTTATTTATATATTTGTACTAGTAGCTTAAGATAAATTAAATTTTTATAAAAATAATTTTTATATGGGAATTTATATCTATTTTTATCTTTTAAGGAGGATATAATTGGAATTTATTTGATTATTTTTATTCCCATTTAAATGGGAATATCAATTCCTTGTTAAATGGTTGGGAATGACAATTCTCACATAATGTGGGAATTGATAAGAAGTGAGAATTTCAATTCTAACATCTAAAAATACATCGTGTTTGGTACGCGGGAAAAAAGAGTTGGAATTCCATTCCATTCTCACTCATTCCCGCGTACCAAACAAGCTCTCGCTATTGGCCAATCTAATTGCCTAAAAGTCATAGCACACAAATATCTTGTTACGTTCTTTATTTAGGTTGCATGAATATTGGTAAAATCTAAACCAGTTTAAGCACATGAATCGAGAGTTCTCCATCGATTTAGTTCATCATTTTATGATCCTTATTCAAAATTTTTGACATTAAAAAGTAAGCCCACGTGCTATGCACGTATAATAATAAACTTCGAACGATAAAAGCAAGGGGGAGGGCAGAGCTCTCGACCCCAACAGGGAGAAGAAGATGACGACGGCATTTTAGGAATAAAAAGAAAAGATAATTGTATTTGTTTTTTTAATTCCCAGTAAGGGCCTGCTCTGCTTAAGCCTTCATGAGTATTGTTCTTTGTTTTATATTTTCTTCCCATTCTGCCCCTCTGTTCTCTGAGATCTCCCATTTGCTGCCCAATCAAAGCGAAAGTGATCTTTAGGCTTTCTCAATCTTTGGATGGTGATTAAGAGATCTATTTCGGGTAATTTCCTTTTTTTTGTTTTATCCTAATTTTAGGGGGTATTTTGGGAATTTTCTCATCATGGCCTCCATGAGATTGATCTGATTCGATCGAGGGGTCTCGATGGCTATTCGTCGGTTTTAGTTCATCGGTGTCTCAAAAGACGCTAGAATATTCATTTTTGTTTTGTTGGAGTTTATTTGCTTCTCTGATTTCTATTGCTTCTAAAATCCTTATTTTCCGAACTGGGTAAGATTTATCTAGCCCTGTTTCGAAGATTTTGGCGAAGAAGTTGAGTTTTTTTTTTTTTTTTTGTTCAACTTGAGTTCAAAGGTAATGTTGGAAGGTCAATGCTGCTTGCTTTCAAGAGTACCAAGTGCTTGTGAACAAGAATCGAACTGGGTTTACATGAATTTTGAACTTCTTAACAATAACAAACGGACCCAACCAGAAGAATTCGGAGGAATAAACAATCACAAGAAGCAAAAGAATGGAACGAAAGAATGCCCATCTTCATCCAATGAAGGCTCCTCATCCTATGACCTCATCAACCCCATTGGTCGAGACATCTCGATCAACTGCCTTCTCCGATGCTCTCGCTCCGATTATGGAGCTCTCGCCTCCCTCAACCGAAACTTTCGATCCCTAATTCGAGAGGGGGAGCTCTACAGGCTCCGCCGTCTGCAGGGAATCGCTGAACATTGGGTTTATTTCTCTTGCAATGTTCTTGAATGGGAAGCATTTGATCCTTATCGCAATCGCTGGATCACTCTCCCTCGAATGCCATCAGACGATTGCTTTATGTGCTCTGATAAAGAATCACTGGCTGTTGGCTCTGAGATCCTTGTCTTTGGAAAGGTTGTCCTCTCTCACATTGTTCTCAAGTACAGCATGTTAACTAACTCATGGTCTCCTGGTGTTGGAATGACCGCACCAAGATGCCTCTTTGGCTCTGCGAGCTTAGGAGAGAAGGCTATAATCGCTGGGGGAACCGATGCTTTTGGTAACATATTGAGTTCTGCAGAGCTTTACAACTCCGAGTCGCAATCTTGGGTCACTCTCCCTTGCATGAAAACACCGAGAAAAATGTGTTCGGGTGTGTTTATGGATAAAAAGTTCTATGTAATTGGTGGAATGGTGAGCAACACTGACGTATTGACTTGCGGAGAAGAGTATGATTTAGAGAAAGAAGTTTGGAGAGTGATCCCTAATATGTCGTTGGGGCTTAAGGGAGCGAGCGGAGCTCCTCCACTTGTTGCAGTGGTCAAGAACGAACTTTATGCTGCAGATTATGGAGAGAAAGTTGTAAAGAAGTATGATAAGGTGAATAAGTCTTGGGTCACTCTTGGAGGATTGCCAGAGAGGTCAGTGTCGGTTAATGGATGGGGATTGGCTTTTAGGGCTTGTGGAGAGAGGCTAATTGTTATTGGAGGACCGAGAGGATTGAGAGGAGGGATGATCGAGCTCAACTCATGGATTCCAGATGGAGGGCCGCCTCAATGGGAGATGATAGCGAGCAAACATTCAGGGAGCTTTGTTTATAATTGTGCTGTTATGGGATGCTGAATTCAGGATGAATTTTATGCATAATGGGTATTTTTCTGCCTTTTCTTGTTTACAAAATTCAGATTGAATTAAGATTCAATAGAATGGCTCGTTTAGATAACACTTCAGGGTATTCTTTTTTATTGTTTTTCTTGGTCATTTTTATTTAATTTGCACCTGGAAGGTTTGGTATCGGTGGAGTTTTCTGGAGATATATGTTTGTGCAAGCACAATTGGTTAATAATCTGACACTTCTTCTGTTTTCTGGTAGGTTTTAGGTCATTTATAAAGGTTTTTACCCTTATATTGATTCATAATTATTGTCTATGCTTATGGAAAATAAGTGGATTCTGGGTTAGACTTGTTGTCAACTGTGATTTTTATTTTTCCTTAGTTTTCTGCTGATAGACCTTCTATTCTCTGTTTGTTGTATGAGTTTATATGTTTGCGTACTGAATCTATTGACTATATGGATGCTGTTGAACAGGATAATGTCTGTCTGAAGTAAATTGGAATTATAGTTTCATTTGTTCTTTGAAATATGCTTAACTAGTCTATTATTCAGGTATTTTGTTGGTTTTTCATGTGGTCTCGTTTGGAGTAGATCCAATTCATCGTTAGTATGATGTTGTTCTACCACACTCCTAGATTCAAGATGGACTCTTGAATTGCAAAGTTAAACAGATAGAAAAGAAAAGGTCAGGTTTAGAGTAGATAGCGAATATTGGTTTAATGTTTATGTGCATGCGTGTAAACAAATGTCCTACTGAGCATTGAAGATATGTTTATGCCGAGGTTTTTTTCATCAAACTTACTCAAATCTATAACATAAAATCTATATCATTAAGTACAATCTTAGCATTTGTGGCTTATCATATGGACCACTTAGATAACTGTATTAACTGCTGCATCTGAGCATGCTAGATGAGAACTATATTGACCTGATTAAGCAGAATAAAAACCGGAGCAAAACTTGGAAAAGGTTTACCTTTCTTTTGTGACTCAAAGATATAGAAAAGGCCACAGGCCATAGGCCATAAAAAGCGCTCTAGTTTCGTTAATCTGTGCATGTTATTCTCAGATCTAACTTCCAAATAGAACTGAACTGAAATTAAAGCTTCATGCTGTTTCATAATAACTCGCACTTCTATTTCTCGTTCCCTCGCCTTGAATATCATTGTATCTTTTAGCATGGAAATGTAATATAGTTGTGCACAAGAGTGATTTTATTGAGGATTACCTTTTTTTTCTTGTGTATCTCACTCAAGATAACACATTTGGTGTAGCACTGTGAATTATGCAACAGAAATAGCATGTTTTCTTGCGCATATCTTATGATAGAAACATGAACTAATTTGACATTTTCTTAGCTGGAAATGTTACAATCGCCAGTAGGCATAATTTCCTTCAATTGTTTAGGGGAAAGATTAGTTGCTTCCAGGGCTGAAATGTAGGAATTAGATGAATAAAGGCAGCATCTCTTGTCTCTCATGCTGCTCACATATGTATTTTTGTCTCCTTTCAAGTCCTAATTATATTTCAGTTATACTTTATAAGATTACATTTATAGTTGATCACAGAAATATAATGTTTCTTGCTCATAAGTATACCTTGAATCTCTATTCATGTCTTTGTCTGATCAATTTCTTTCACAAGAGTGAAATTAGTTCACATTGTATCAGAACTATTGTTCCTCAATTCCGGTGCGTATATGACTACAGGAAGTTTAAACCATTTCAAATTGCTTTACTAGATATTTTGTTACGGGGCAGTTGATGTAGATATTGGTCCATAGAGTTCTGATGATAAATATCACATATGAACTGACAGGTTTGTCTGTTCTATTTCGCATTACCTTGCTTTTTGTTTGTGTAATGTTGAATTATGAAGTACTTGAGTTAATCTTAATCGTCAGATTAGCCTCTAGGATTAGTTAGATCGTCGAATACTGTTGGCAATAAGAAGCAGGGACCTGAAGTTACTTTCATTAAAGTTACTTTGAGCATCTGAAAGCTTGTACTTTCTAGCGCTAATTTATCTGCAAGATAACCATGAAGATTTTTTATATTGTGGTAGATCAGTTTGTATTAGTGTTTATTGAATCCTGGCAACCTCTTTGAGTTAGTGGATTCTCCAGTTTTCCAAAATAACCTTCTTGTAAGAGTTCATTTGAAGTTTGATAACTTTGATGTAATCATGAAATTTTTTATAGTGACATTCGACTTGTTATTTGGTTAAGTTGATTGCTATCATTAGGTGAGGCGCGCAAGAGATTTGTAAAGCACTTTGACTTTGCGTGGTATTGTTATATGTTGAATACGTTGAGATTGCATTTCATCACTTTAGATTTCTTAGTTGTTTGAATGTTTACTGCCCTTGCGATATATCTTTTGACCAAATGGAAGTTAGTTTTGCATGCTGAATTCTACATAATTCTGTGAAGCTCAAAATTAAGTCCTGGTAAATCCATTTCTGGCATGTCTATTATCTTCAGCTCATATCACTGACATAGTGTTTGTTGGAAATTTGCAGTAAAAGAAATAATGAAAGAAAAATTTGACTTGTATTCCTCTCAAAATCAATTACAATTTGGATTCCGATTACAAAAGAGAGGAGAATGAATTCGATTCTCCCCTTTGTTTAATTCTGGGTTCTTCACGGTGGCGATGAGATGCCTCCCTCGAATGCTCGCGTCGAGTTTGCTTCTCGTTGACGATCCGAACGTCTTGATTCACTGGAACGATGTCATCTCCTCACGATTTGACGCTGTGGAGAACTTGCGTGGCAAGTTTTGAAATAACTCTTGACGAGTTGATAACTCTGAACGAGTTTTAGAAGAACTTGCAGAGCAAGTTTTGAACTCTGATCGAGTTGATAACTCTGAACGAGTTTTAGAAGAACTTGCAGAGCAAGTTTTGAACTCTGATCGAGTTGATAACTCTGAACGAGTTTGAACTCTTGAAAAAGAGTTGATTTGAACCGAAAGTTCGGTTAATAAGCCAAGGAAGAAGCTCCTGTTGCTGGTCTCCAAAACTCCTTGTTGCTGCAGAACGCGGCAAGATGCTCGATCAAGGATCCCCAAAAAGTCAGCTCCCCCCCTCCAAAAAAAAGAGGATCCGAACTCAGTTGAGTTTTGAGGTATTTATAGGGGGTTAAGGGTATAACCGCCCCCTTAAATATCTCCTTAATGAGGGTTTAATGGGGTCTAACTGCTCCCCATAAATCTCTCCATGATAGGGTAGTGATCCCCTAAAATCTTGGGGAGAAAACGGTTCTGGAACCGTTCAAATCGTGCTTGAACGAGTTAAACGCTGAAAACAGCGTTCTGGGCTCGAACTGTGCGTTTCTGGACCTGAAACGCACAGTTGAGGTTGAAAAACGCACAGCTGGGGCTGAAAACGCACAGCTGGAGCTGAAAAACGCACAGCTGGGCTGAAAACGCACAGTTGAGGCTGAAAACGCACAGCTGAGGCTGAAAACGCACAGCTGGGCCTGTAAACGCACAGTTGGCCTGTTTCAGGCTAAAAACGCACAGTTGAGCCCATAAACGCACAGTTGAGCCGTAAACGCACAGTTGGCCTGTAAACGCACAGTTGGCCTGTAAACGCACAGTTGGCCTGTAAACGCACAGTTGGCCTGTAAACGCACAGTTGGCCTGTAAACGCACAGTTGGCCTGTAAACGCACAGTTGGCCTGTAAACGCACAGTTGGCCTGTAAACGCACAGTTGGCCTGTAAACGCACAGTTGGCCTGTTTCAGGCTAAAAACGCACAGTTGAGCCCATAAACGCACAGTTGACCTGTAAACGATCCCCAAAAAGTCAGCTCCCCCCCTCCAAAAAAAAGGATCCGAACTCAGTTGAGTTTTGAGGTATTTATAGGGGGTTAAGGGTATAACCGCCCCCTTAAATATCTCCTTAATGAGGGTTTAATGGGGTCTAACTGCTCCCCATAAATCTCTCCATGATAGGGTAGTGATCCCCTAAAATCTTGGGGAGAAAACGGTTCTGGAACCGTTCAAATCGTGCTTGAACGAGTTAAACGCTGAAAACAGCGTTCTGGGCTCGAACTGTGCGTTTCTGGACCTGAAACGCACAGTTGAGGTTGAAAAACGCACAGCTGGGGCTGAAAACGCACAGCTGGAGCTGAAAAACGCACAGCTGGGCTGAAAACGCACAGTTGAGGCTGAAAACGCACAGCTGAGGCTGAAAACGCACAGCTGGGCCTGTAAACGCACAGTTGGCCTGTTTCAGGCTAAAAACGCACAGTTGAGCCCATAAACGCACAGTTGAGCCGTAAACGCACAGTTGGCCTGTTTCAGGCTAAAAACGCACAATTGTGCTGTTTTAAAGATTAACTCTGCGTTTCTAGATTGAAAACGCAGAGTTGAGCCTGTTTAAAGGCTGAAAACGCACAGTTGTGCTGTTTTAGCGATTAACTCTGCGTTTTGATGTTGAAAACGCAGAGTTGAGCATGTGCGCTTTGACTCTGTAATGCAGAGGTGAACCTTAGGCGGGCTTGGCGGGCTTCAGGCTAAGTCCAATGTTCTGATGAAGTCCAGTCTTGCAGACGGACCTCAGAACATAATTTGCTGCGAAGAACAGGTCATAACTTTCAAACCGTAAGTCAGAATTAGACGAATTATATATGAAAATCGGCTATCTCGACGAGACGGGGCCATCCGAACCAGGCCGAAGGCTTCGGTTCGCTTCCTCCATTTTGCCAAATTCCTTACGGTTTGAGAGATATCTGCATTTTAATATGAAGAGACCGTCAATTTGTAGTCTCTTTTGCTAGAGCTTTGCACAGATCGTCCTCTTGTAATCTTCGTCTTGGCTCCTTGAAAATATGAGAGTCGTCAGGTTGTAACTCCCGATGTTGATTGTGAATGCTGTTGAATTGGGGCCTTCATTAGTTGTTGTGAAGGTCGTCAGATTGTAACCTTCTACGTGAAAGTCCTCAAATTGTAGCCTTCTGGAAGTCGTCAGATTATAACTTCCATCATCGGTGTTTGATGAGGGATTAACTATCTATTGTGATTTTTAACTAGCCTACACATAGTAGGAACTCAAATATTTGCAGAATTTGCATATTTTACCTTCATTTGCGTATCATTGCATATCATTTTTGTCCTTGTCAATTCAATGCTAATAGCAGATGTCATTTTGTATTTTTAGATATCACCCGTCTAATCTTTGCTTAATGTACTGAATAATGACCGTTATACATTTGCTTGGTAGTGGATTTCAGCATTCCAACTCCACAAGGATGAACTAACGT